ATATTATGTTTAAGATTTTGTGTAAATAATAAATTATGGCAAACTATAAAGGAAAGCAAAATAAATATTTTTTTATAATTTTTAAGCTAACGAATGGACTCGCCGATGGACACTATTACTAATAGATACGAGATTAGAAACGGAGGAAGAATTCATCAAACCGATTCAAAAATCTAAATCATGGCAGAGGATTTCCGACAATCTCAAACGAAGTGGGTACGCGTTTCGGTCCACGGAATGCCATGCTAAGTAGCAAAATTTAATGTGTACCTACAGGGAAAAGAGTCTGGTGGCGATGCCATAAAATGGGAGTTTTTCCATAACTTTCAAGAAGTTTATGGAAATAGGTTAAATGTAAATCCCCCAGTAGTTATCTTTGAAGTTCTTTGCCTTGCACTTCTGAAAACAATTTTCAATCAAATGAAAATGAAAATTTAATTTCTGTTCCCAGTGCATCAAATTTCCAAAGAGAAGCAGAAACCACAGAAAGACCAAGAAAGAACAAAAGAACTGGAGATGAATTACCATTGTGGTTTAGAAATTATTTAAAAAAAAGAGTTAGAAGACAGAAAAGCAGAGGTAGAAGAACAATGATGGAATGATTTAAAAAAATAGAGGAAGAAAAATTAAAAGCCATGGAAAAATTAACAGATGTTTTGTTAAAATTGGCAGAAAATAAAATGTAAAATGTTTGGATATTTTAATAAAATTTTTTCTGTTTTGATGACTAATAAATGTATTTAAGATGTATCAAAATACATCTATTCAAAAATCAAAGCACTTTCAATAATGAACAAAGTTTATTACAAATAACTAAAAGTAATAACAAAATGTTAAATATATGATTAATACTTTTCCTGAAACTGGTTCAAATATTTAATAAAANTACATCTATTCAAAAATCAAAGCACTTTCAATAATGAACAAAGTTTATTACAAATAACTAAAAGTAATAACAAAATGTTAAATATATGATTAATAGTTTTGATGACTCATAAATGTATTTAAGATTTATCAAAATACATTGATTCAAAAATCAAAGCACTTTCAATAATGAACAAAGTTTATTAGAATTATGTAATTCACAATTACAAATAACTAAAAGTAATAACAAAATGTTAAATATATGATTAATACTTTTCCTGAAACTGGTTCAAATATTTAATAAAATTTTGTTTAAATTACACATTATAAATGCAGATGAACATGGCATCATTATGATTAAAAATTCACAACATAACAGCAGACAATAATAATAATTACAAACTTGATTTTAATGTATTAATAGAAAAAAAAATAAAAGTATCAATAGATACTTTTTAACCATTATGATTGGCATATAATTTATTAGCAATTTCCTCTCTTTTGCTAATTCCATCTTGATACTCTTCTCCAAAATTCTGAGAACTGTTTTGCAAATTACCATTTATAGCACAAGCATCTGGAGGTATATCATTATATAAAATGCACAAATTATGCAATACACAGCCAGTTATTATCACTTCTGGAATCAAATCCCTTCGAAACATATGTAGATGTTTCAGCCTTCTAAACCTGCCAAATAATTGTCCAAATGCTTGTTCAATAACAATTCTAGTTGAACTAAGAGTTTTATTGTAATATTTTTTAATATTGTTTAAGTGTCCATTATCACGATAAGGAGTTAATAATTTTTTGGATAATGGATATGCACTATCACCTAATAAATGATAGTTTTCTGAAATCATCTCAGGATTATGTTTTATTTTTAGATAGAGAGGACTCCTTTGGAAAACTCTGGCATCATTTGATGAGCCTGGCCAACCAGCAAAGACATCTATAAATTTTAATTTCGCATCACATACAGCCTGTAGAATGACAGAAGTGAAATTTTTTCTGTTGAAATGTGCAACCTTTTCATTTTTGGAGGCTGTAAATGGAATATGAGTTCCATCAATACAGCCTAAAACTCCAGGAAAACTGTTGCACCCTCTCAGTTCATTAAATTCTTTAACAGTTTTTT